ACAGTCTGGTAGTAAATGCAGTCTTCATACTCACTGTGCCAGCCTGTGTTCTAAGTACTTTGTATTTGACTCGTTTAATTCTCACAACAACTCTTTGCCCAAAGCACTATTATTATACCCACTGTACAGGTGAGGAAGCTGAGGCAGAGAGGTGACGAGACTTGCTGATGTCACAGTGCCGGCAGGAGGGAAAGTCGGAGTCTGCCTCCAAACTCATAATCACTATTCAACATTGCCTTCTGTTTTTTGCTTAATGTTTTCAGATATATGGACCACTTAAAGCAGAATTTCCATGAACTTATTTCATTTTAAAGAACCCATCATTTCTGGACTTCAGCTAGAAAATGTAAATGTTTGTAACACATGAATCACCAGTGAAGCTTTAACATTCTATATAAAAAAACCATTAATTCATGAGTTAGTTTCACTACAAAGACTAAACTGTGTACCTTCCTGCCCCCAAATCTAAGACACACTTATAGTTCACTGTACCTCTCGGGCCATCTGTCCTGTCACTACCATAGGTGTAGGAAGTTTAGGAAATTATTTTATTCAGCCTAGGACACCTACAGTGCAGGAGTTAGCACTGACCCAATTTCTTTCATAAAAAATTAGATTATATATATCTCAACACATATTCTTAAATGTGTCAACATATTTCCATGTTGCCTAGCTTAATACTACGTGGTGGTTAAGAGCATGAGTTCTGAGTAAGACTGACCTGGACTGAAATCCTGGTGCCACCACCCAGGCTAGACTGTGACTGTGGCCAAGTTGCTTAGCTGCTTGAGGTCTCAGCTGCTTCATCTACAAAACAGAAAAGCCTTCACGCAGGCCCCCGGCGGGGACGACAGCCTGCGCGCACGGAGCCCTCTCCCCTCACGCTGGCTCTGTCTGCTCTCACTGCTGCACTAACAGTCAGAGGCCCCGTGGTCGCCAGTCACACACACAGTTTTCATTCTGAAAGTCTCTGTGACATAGAACAATGAGCATCAACTTTTGAAATCATTTAAACGTGAATCCCAGGTTTGAATGTGAGTCTTTGTTTTCCCAAGTGAGCATGAGAGCTACACCCTCTTCCTGCCCCGGCGGCCATTAGGATCAACTATGTCAGAGGACCCAGCACTGGCCCACAGAAGGCACTGATGAGCATTCTTATCATTAATTGTAGGCACTGGAGGAATTTAAAGTGAAAGGGCAAAGTAGTGTTTGTTCACATTTAGACGAGGTCCCTGACAACCTCCTGGAAAGAAAAGCATGAGCACAAAGTAGACAAGCAACCAAGGCAGTGCTGGGAAGGAGCTGCCAGGAGACATGGGAAATGCGGGGTAAGAACCTGGTTTCTGTCAGCTGGAGCCTGAATATGCTTTCTGCTGGGTGCTGCTTGAATTGCTGTGTTCTGGGATGCAGGAGAAAAGGGCAAATGTGAGCCGTGGGTAAAGTGGGGCTGAAAATACCGTTTGTTGCCAAGGAAACATCATGAACAATTTGTAAGGAGGGGGTATTGATCTCAGAACACTCTGAGAATTAAGTCCGTTCTCTCCCTGAGCTCCCTACAGCCTCCAGCTGTGCTGAGACTATTCCCCACTGGCATCGCCAATGCAGAAGGCAATGCGTGCGTGCAACACACACATGCTGACACCACTCCCTGCTAACAAGCCAGGGGGATACAAAGCACATGGCTTCCAACCAAGCAGCGCTCCCACACTGTGATCTCATCTGCTAAGTAGAGTAACCTACGAAGTCTGGCCACTCAAGGAAGCGATGTTATGAGAGTGGTAGCCACATATACTGCTTCTTTTTGAAAGCTCCAATGCTCAAACAGGAGGCAGCAATATGCCGGCATTCAACATCGATTCCAGTGCACTGATGAAGATATCCAGCCCCTCTAACATTACCTAATTAGTAATACTAGAAGAGTTAAATTCTCACCTGATACAGCCTTTATACACAAACTTATTTATAATTCTTGCAGTTGGAGAGGTTTCTTTTAACTTTCAGCTAAGATTATTACTAAAGCCAGTTTAAACCAAAAACCAGGTTTGATTTTACCGCATGTTTAGGTAGAAAGACTATTTCCTTAGAGATAATAAAGCAGAAAGAATGCAAAAAAAAGCCTGTCCATAGACAAAGAATGCAGTCCTGAAAAGTGACCTATAATTTGTGGTAAAGCTAAGTGTTCAATTTGGTCTGAGAGGTGGCTGAAGTAGGTAAGGTGTCTCCTCTCCCCCACCCGCCCGCCCTCCACCCCCGAAATCTAGCAGCTCAGAGTGGGTCCTTGGATAACTTAGTAAACGTTTCGGAATAAAGGCCAAGCAACTGCATTTTCGGGGTGGGGGCGGGGCAGCTAACTTCGGAAGGAAACACTTCTGTGACAGAGCTTAGGGCTAATGTGATAAATCTGGTCTCTGTGGAGCCTTGACAAATCAGGACTCTAATGAGATTCCAGATATGGCCTAAGAGAAAAGGAGCCAAGCATTTCTCCAGACTAGATTCCACGGTGATAAAGATAATCAGAGGGTAGCACAGTCTCCAGGCATTTGTCTCAAGTGGATTTTCAAGCTTTAATATGATACTTGTTCTTAGCTTAGGATAAAAATTCTTACTTATGAGAACAAAATCCTCTATTAGCCACACACACATTCTGAAATGAAAGTCTTACAAAGCTGGTACAAGTTCAGAATCCAAGGCACAAACATAATATGCAAATGTGCATAAACAACTGAGGATTTTGTTCATTTTAGCATTTCATTGGATTGCCAAGTGTGAGCATTTTTACCAGAATTCCCTAGGAACCAGTATGCTCTGACATACAGTTAGAGCAATGGAAACTTGTTTCCCTTCTAGCCTTGGTTTCTGGGAAGTTCTAGAGTCAAATTTTACACCTGATAACAGCAACTTGTTCACCCTTCCTTCCATTTTCACTGGTCTTGATTTTCTCTCCTTTCTATCCCTATTTTATTACCATTATTTTATGTATCTTTTCTTGGCATGCTGCTTTGAATTTTTTTAGGAAAGAGGCCAGGAATAAATACATTTCAAATACAGACCAAAAAGAAACAAACAAACATTGCCATTACTTTTAGGATGTAAAAGAAAGTATCTTTGCTTTTATAGCACATCTTAATCAAAAGCAGTATTTCCGAATTACCTTAAGATAATGTATACCTAGATTTGACAATAACCCTATGCTCATTAAGAAGTCCTCAATTCCCCGATTTTACCAAGAACAGACATATTCCCTTAATATATAATAATTTTAGTTTCTTCATTAGTTTCCATTAGAGCCCTTTGCTGAGATTAGAAGTTGAGTGTAGCTCCAAGACTCTAGGTAAATCATTAACATCTGATTACTTAGTTTCCTCCTACAAAACAGGAGGGCAACTGCTATATCCACTGTATCACAAAACTCCTTATCGTTAAGTAAATGCAGACTTGCTCTTAGAAGTAGCAGTGTGGTATAAATGCAAGATATTACTATCATACACATTAAAGGCCTAAGTGATTCTTCCTCAAGAGCTTAGGGGCTTCTTTTCACCCATGGCAAAAACTTCTTAACAAATTCATAGTTTCTTTGCTAACACCATGATAGAGGCAGGGAAGTTATATGCACATTCAGAGATGCAGGCACCAAATAATAAAAGAAAACATTTCTATACATAAAACATTATTTATACCTGTTTTCATTGTTTTTACATTGAGATGCAAACATCCCCTTATCCAAAATAGCTGGTGAAAAACAAAACAAAAATAAACCAAATTAAGCCTTTAAAGATGCTGGTGAGTTTTCAAGAGTCCTTGCTGAATGAACACCAATATCAAATATTATAATTCAATAATTCAATCATAAGGAGAACCAACTGAACTAAACTGAGCTATAAAATATCAATATACATAGCAAAATCACAATTAACCAGAATACTCCAACTTCCTTTAAATTGATTGCTTAAAACTAGTCTTGTTTTAACCATTAGTAGAAGAACCTTTTCAAATTGAACCACTTTACTTTCCTGGCTCAGTCAGTACAAAATGCTAAACACAAATCAATTTTATTTTGATGATTTAGGATCGTGTGGTACCTTGGGGCATCCCTCGGAGCATACATAATTTCTGTGCCATTTTGTTAGAGGTGGAAAATTATAGTGAACTGAGTTCCTTGTTTTAAATAAATCCCTGGTATCATTAGCTCACTATCTTCCTTTTGCCTCATTCTCCTAGAAAGAGAGTGGGGTAAAAAAGTTCTAGTTAAGCAGTTGTAGACATACCTACACAACTATAACGATTTGGGCAAACAAGGCAGTTCATTACCTTTACCCCTCTGTTCTACTTAATAACTATGCCCAATAACATGAATTACACATAATGGGTCTACTGTTTTTCTGGATATGAAACCTTAGTAATTCCTTGTCTGGAATCTTTTCTTTAAAAAACAAAAGAAAATCACTCATGAAGATGACTTCAAAAACCAGGAAGTTGATTTTGCTAATAGAATCAAACTGTTCTTCCTATATTAACTCCTTTAATAATTTTTATAATGTTATCAAAAGCAAGTTAGTTCTCTAAGTACTAGGTTCTTACCTCCCCAAAGCCATAAACTAAAGAGTTGCTGGGAGAAAAGCCACCTTGTGATCACTCAGTACAGATCAGAGTTTCCATGGTGCCAGACCCCTACCCTGGGGGCACACGAGATGGCTTTAGGTGGCCCACAACACTGAACAAGGTAATTACTGAATCGCAGGGAGAAGGTCATTCCCCTGACAATTTTCTTTTATCCTCCTGATAATTTCACAGAGAGTGCCCCACTGCGGCGCTGGGTGACACCTCTCTCACTGCGAGGGGACGGCAGGCCTCGCACGTTCAGAGTCCAGGCAGGCGTTAGCATCTAGCTAGAACTTAGTTAACATTTTTCTGTTTTAGTTTTATTTATTTTGTAGTTACCTTTTATTATGGGCAACTGACCCTGGTTTTCCACTTAGAATAGTGGATGGTTTCTTTATAAATTATTTTAAAATTAAAAAAAATATTAAGTAAATAATAGTACATGCAGTACTCAAACAATTGAAATTTTGGAAACAATGGCAATAGTCTAACAAATCATATTTTTAAAGAGAGATTTCAAAAGAAACTACCAACGTAGTCGAGAAAGGAACATGTATCACTGTATTTTCAATACTTGTGATGTTCCAGGGATGAGTGCACCACAGCCTCTCCTACATCAGGTGATTCCCAGAGTTAAAATTGAAGCAAAAATATAAAATACAAAAGAACCAAATCCATACCATCCTGGACTTCATAAACTCATGTTACCATAAATGTGCAAATACTCTTAAATGTAGCAAGTCATTTGTTTGAAACATAAAGTTTCCAATTTACTGTGGCATCTTTTTATTTGGTCTATACTAATGCCTCACAAAGGCAAACCCAGGTTGTAGAGTTCCTGCTTGGTCCTCAAAAGATTGATATATATTTTGATTAAACTCTTCAGCAAGGATTCAGGACTGCTGGCCAGTGTTCCCATGGCGTGTGACCATTCTCCCACTGTTATGGCTCTGCAGAGTGGTCTTCTCCTCCTCCTCTGAATAATCATCTCACGGCCAATGTTCTTCTGAGAGGAGTCTGCCCAGCAGGTATTGCATGCTCGCAGGCATGCTATGCTGACTTAAAACAAAAAGTACAGTTGGAGAGAAAGAAAGCAGAGCTTCTTGTTTGTGGTGAACAGTTTCTTCATCACAGTGGCAGTTAAGATACTCTCCCTCCTTTTTCTCCAGGAAGCCAAGGTAATACATCTGAAAGACGGTGTCAGACATCATAATCAGGGGCCTTACCCTGGGCTTGCCTTAGCCAGATCTGTAGTGTAACAAATGCTCCCACGGTCACGTGAAAGAAAAGCTGCCAGAGGTTGCGAAGTTCATAGAGATACATGTTGCACAGACAGATTAAGCCAAAAGTCAAAAAAGATTTGACATTCCGCCAGCCAGTGTAGTAGACAAGTAAATAACACTGTTCAAAATATAAAATGAAAGACGATTAGGGTTACAAGAAGAGAAATAGATGCTTCTACTATAAAATTGTAACAGGCCAGTGTACAAATATGATGGTAAAATAAGGGGATTTTTCATCAACAGATAAAATGATGTAATAACAAGGCATTTGGCTATGAAAGGGAAATAGATTTTTCCCTTTTATAATTTTCATTTTTTTTTTTAAAAAAAAGCATTTTGGATCATATTTAAAATGGAGGAATAACTGGAGGACTCCCTTGCAAACAGGCTGGACAGATTCCTCATGGTGATGGGCAACTAAGAGGCATTGTCAGGACCTCAGGGGGACCCATCTTTCATTCTCACCCCAGAAAAGTACAAAAAGCTATTAAGCAAAATGGACTCGTATATAACCTGAAACTGAATGTTACTGAAACCAACAAATATTTACTAATCCCCTCATTCAGTGCAAAGAATTAAGCTGGGAGGATATGAACGAACATTTGAAGGAGAAATCATCCAGGGGATATTTGTTGAGGGTGTGCTGTAAGTCAGGTGTTGTTCTTTAGCTTTAAGTAAACAAAAAGAAGCCCTTGCTCACATGGAGCTTACATTCTAGAAGAGAGAGAAAGATTATAAACATTTTATACGTATAATATCAAATAGTTATGTCTTGAAAAAGATAAAAGATAAAATTTAAAAAGGTGACAGAGAATATAATGAGTGACATTTTAGAAGACATAGTAAAGAAAGTACTCCCCCCACCCTACCCCAAATCCTGGCATTCACCTTCTCCTGCTTTATTTTTTCTCCCCTACTATAAACATACTTCAAAAATATGCTTATTTTGTTTGTCATCTATATTCTTCCAGTAGAATCTAAGCTTCGTGAAAGGAGAGGTATTATACTGCTTTGTTCACTCATTTATCTCCAGTGCCCAGAACAGTGCCTGACATAAAAATGCTCATTAGAAATTTGTTGAATGAATAGACTCCTTTCTAGAAGATATTTAAAATTCACAATCTGGTACATACAGGAATTATATGTGATCACAAAGAAGAAAGAAGCAGAGGTCTCTCTGTGAAATTGTATTCAGGCTTCAGTACAGGAAGGGTATTGCGACAATGCAGAAAGACTGTGGAAATATTCTGTTTAATGTGTTTAATTCTTACAGAAATTAGAACTCTGCTTACTTAAAAAGAAGACTGCTATCCAAGCAAAATGAATCGGAAGCACTTGCTTTACCTAAGTAATGTGCAGTGTGTAAAAATCATTAAACAAATATTTGAAAAAAATTTTCTTTTGAAATAATTTTAAACTTAGAGAAAATTCACAAATATTTTGGAGTTCCTGTATACCCCTCACCTTGTTCCCCCTAATGTCATCCTCTTACATAACCATAGTATAATCACCAAACCAGGATATGAACATTGATACGATACTATTAACTAATCTATAGATTTTATTCAAATTTTTCCAGTAGTCCCACTAAGGCCCTTTTTCTGGTCCAGAATCCAATTCAAAATTTCATTTTGCATTTAGTTGTCGTGTCTCCTCAAATCTGTAATAGTTCCTTCAGTCTTTGCTTTTCATGACCATGACACTCTTGAACACTACTGATCAGCAGTTTTGTAGAATATCCCTTAATTTCGGTTTGTCTGGTGTTTTCTCAAGATTGAAGTGATATGCAATTTTGGCAAGAACACCACTAGCCCTGACTGGTATGGCTCAGCTTGTAACTGAAAAGTTGTGGGTTCGTTTGGTCCCCAGCCAGGCACATGCAATCCCACGTCTGGGCACGTATGGAAGGCAACCAATCAATGTTTTTCTCTCGAACTGATGTTTCTCTCACTTCCTCTCTCTTTAAAAAGCAATGATAAAATGTCCTCAGGTGAGGATAAGAAAAAAATAAAAAGAATACCACTATGGTGATACATAATATGTCTTATTATTGGTGATGTTAACTCTGATCCTTGGTAAGGTGGTATGTGACAGGTTTCTCCACTGTGAAGTTACTCTCTTTCTTTGTCATTAGTATCTTGTGGGAGGGGAAATAAAGACATTCTCAAGTGAAAGAAGACTAAGAGAAGTCGTTGCCTATATATGTACCGTAAAAGGACAGCTGAAGGAAGTTCTCTAAACAGAAAGGAAACAATAAACAAAGAAACCTTAGAATACTGGGAAAGGAAAAAAGAACACAGTAAGCAAAGACACAAGTAAATATATAAGAATCTCCTTTTCCTCTTGAGTTTTCTAAATTATCTTTGATGGTTGAAGCAAAAATTATAATATTGTTCTGTCTGGTGTGGTTCTCAAAATATGTAGAGGAAATATTTAAGACAATTATAGAGGATGGCAAAGGGACATAAAAGGAGATATAGTTTCTATGTTTGACTTGAACAGGTAAAGTGATAAGACCAGAAAACTGTGATCATTATGTATAATGTAATACCTGAGCAACCATTTAAAAAGCTGTATGGAGAGGTACACTCAAAAACACTATAGAGAAATCAAAATGAAGTTCTAGAAAGAGAAAAGTTCAAGTAGTCCCCAAGGAGATGGGAGGAATAAAACATAACAATTAAAAATAGAAAACAAAAAGATGGCAGATTTAAGCCCTGACATATCAGTAATTACATTAATTGTGACAGCTTAAATATAGCAAAGAGAAGATGGAGATTGACAGAGTGGATTAAAAAACATAAATCAATTCTATGTTCTTCAGGAGTAACTCACTTCAAATGATATAGGCAAGTTGAAAGTAAAAGAATAGAAAAGTATATACCATGCAAACTTTAATGAAAATAAAGCAAGAGTGACTATATTAATATTAGGTAAATATAAAAATATTTCTAATAATAGAAAAATAACCAGGGGCATAGAAGGATATTACCTAATAATAAATGGATCAATCCACCAAGAAGGCACAGCAATCCTAAACGTGTATGAACCAAACAACAGAGCTGAAAATTACATGAAACAAAAGCTGATAGAGCTGAAATAACAAAGGCACACTTACAGTTAAAAACCTCAATACTCCTTTCTCGACAACTGATAGAGCAACTGGACAGAAAATCAGCAAGGATACAGAAAAAAACACCACCAACCAATAGGACCTAATTGACGTTTACAGAACATTCACTCAACCACAGTAGAATACGTGTTCCGTTCAAGCGCCCATGGAACATATACCAAAACAGACCATATTCTGGGCCATAGAACAAACCGCAATAACTTTAAAAGAACTGAAATCACAGAGTGTGTTTTTCCAACCACAATGGAGTCAAACTAGAAATCAACAATGGAAAGAAAATTGGAAAATCTCCAAACATTTGGGAACTAAACAACACAATTCTAAATAACCCATAGGTCAAAAAAGAGCCAAAAGAAAAAAAAAACATTTTAAATAAATTGAGCCCTGACTGGTGTGGCTCAGTGGGTTGGGCATTGACCTGCAAACCAAAAGGTCTCCAGTTCAGTTCCTGATCAGGGCACACACCTGGGTTGTGGGCCAGATCCCCAGTTGGGGGCATGAGAGAGGCAACCAATCAATGTTTCTCTCCCTCATTGATATTTCTCTCCCTCTCCTTCTCCCTCCATTCCCCTCTCTCTAAAAGTAAATAAACAAAATCTTTGAAAAAATAAATTGAATTAAATGAACACAACATATCAAAATTTATAGGACACAGGTTATGAAGTGCTAAGAGGGTGATTTATAACACTAAATGTATATATTACAAAAGAGAAAATTCTCCAATCGTCTAAGTTCCCATCTCAAGACCTAGAAAAAGAAAAGTCAAATAAACCCAAAGCAATTATGAGAAAGGAAAAAATAAAGGTAAGAGCAGAAATCAATAAAATTGAAAATAGGATAAAAACTATAAAACAAAGAAAAGGTTCTTTGAAAAGATTAAGAAAATTAACAAGTAAGTGACAAAAAGAGAAGATACAAATTACCAATATGAGGAATGAAACAGAATGTCCCTACAGATCCTATAGACATCAAAAGGACAGTAAGGAGATACTCTGACCACACATTTGATAACATGAAATGGACCACCACCTCATAAAACACATACATACTACCATAATTCACCCATTATGAAACATAATTTGAGTAGCCCTATAACTATTAAGAAAATGGAATTTAATATACAATATATAGCAATAATAATCAAACTATGCGGTACTAGCAGAGAGACAGACACGTAGGACAGAATACAGAACCCCAAAATAGACTCACACAAACATGCCCAACTGATGTTTGACAAACATGCAAAGGCAATTCAGTGGAGGAAAAAAATAGTCTTTTCAACAAATGGTGCTGGAGTAATTGGCCATCTATCCACAGGCGAAAAACAAAAATAAAACAACATCCAAACTCAATTTCATCCAAGTCTCACATCTTATACAAAATTTTATTCAAAGTGGATCATGAACTTAAATGTAAAACATAAAACTATAATACTTTTAGGGGAAAAAACCAGGAGAAAATCTTCAGGATCTGGAGGTAGGCAAAGAGTTCTTAGAATTGACAACACAACATGATTCATATAAGGAAAAACTGATAAAATGAATTCTATCAAAATTTAAAACTTTTGCTCTGCAAAAGACCCAGTTAAGAGGATGAAAAGATAAGTTACAGACTAAGAGAAGATATTTGCAAACTACATATCTGGCAAATGACAAATGTCGAAAACATAAAGAATTCTCAAACTTGACAGTAAAAACAAACAATCCAATTAGAAAACAGGCAAACAACATGAACAGACATTTCAGCCAAGAGGATACACGAATGACAAAATAAGCACACAAAATGATGTTCAACCTCATCAGCCATTAGATTAAGTGCAAATTAAAACAACAGTGAGGTATCACAACATAACTATCAGAATTGCTAAAATAAAGAATAGTGAAAACACCAAATTCTGAAGAGGATATGGAGAAATTGGTTCACTTGCACATGCTGGTCAGAATGGAAAATGGTATGTCACCCTGGAAAACCGTTTGTCTGTCTCTTAATAGGACTAAGTGTGCAACCACCATGTGCCAGCAATTGCTGTGTTTATCTCAGACAAACGATGACATACGTTCACACAAAAGATATAGGTACACGAATGCTGAGAGCAGACAAAAGATGGTTGGACTTTGGGTGATGTGCACATAGATCTTGTTTCACAGAAATGTACACTGGAAACCTATATGATAGGCAATTGGTTAACTGCCTATTAACCAATGTCACCCCAATAAATTTAATAAATAAAAAGAATGTATACAGTAGCTTTATTTATAATAGCCAAAAATTGGAAAGAACTGAGATGTCCTTCAATGGATGAATGAGTAACTGTGATACATACATACTATGCAGTTCTGTTAACAATGAATAGGAACAAACCATTAATACATGCACCAACCTGGATAAATCTCCAGAGAATTATGCTGAGTTAAAAAAAAATGCCAGTCACAAATGGTTACATACTGTATGGTTCCATTTTCTCAAAATGAAAAGATTATGGAAATGGAGAACACATTAGGGGTTGCCAGAGATTAAGGGGCAGAGGGAAATGGATGTGACTATAAAAGGGCAACATGAGGGGTTCTTGTGATAGGATGTTCAGTATCTTGACTACATCGACATCAACATCCTAGCTGTGATAAAAAATGTAATAGCAAAACTTTACACATGCATATTTGTTGGCAACTTACTTTATAAAGTTAAAAATAAGCACTATATGTACACACATATAAAGATCAAGTGTTGCAAAATGTTAATAATTGGTGACCTAGGTATACTAGTCTTTCAACTTTTCTATAAATTTGCAAGTTTTCAAAATAAAACGATGAGGGAAAAGGAATAGTCTCTAGTTTCTAGATCCTTTGGTTTCCTACTTGAAATGATAGATAGCAGGACTAGTCCTACCTGTCTGAGTTCTGTGCTTCCATAAGCACTTACAGCCCGGAGAAAAAGGCAACACACCATGCGGTAGTGGCCTTTGAGGTCAGATCTAAAGGGAATTAAAAATATCCTGACGACTGGAAGTACAGCACATTATATGGGGACACACAACCACTTAAGTTGCACTGTGGAAAAACCAGCATATTTGGAAAGCCTACAGTTTCATGCCTGTCAATACAAAGAAAACCATTTTTTTGTTTTTGTTTCTAAAGCATGAATTTGTTTACTTCTCTCAAGTAAAAGAGCACCTGAGTGACACTGCTCCCCTGTGAGGCAACTCTTAGGACTGCTTCCCCCTCTTCTGGGGAATGTGACAGAGAAGTGTGCCTGCCTATCACCCGCACTGGCGCTGGGGTCGCACAGACCTGGGTTCATGTCACTGGCTAAAAGAGCTGTGCAGGCCTCAGTGAAAAACATGATGGTAATAAGATTAGTGTGGGACTTTGTGAGAATTTAATGGTACAAGAAATGTAAAGGGCTTAGTATAGTAGAGCTCAATACATTTTATTATTATTAGCATTTAAAATTATTTTATTAAGGTAAAATAGTCAAAAGCGTATTATAAAAATAATTACTTATGAAATTATTTTAAAATTAATATTTGTTTCACATTATTTTAGAATCATTAAGTTGTAACACTATAAAAATTATACAAATGTAGAAATTTTGCTTAGAGACAGCAAGTGGAATGAATACAACATTTAAAATCAGAAGACTCAGAATTAAGTCCTGACTCCACCACTTACTTACTGGCTATGTGATCTCTAGATAATACTGAAGCTGCCTCTGGTTTCCCATTTTCAAAAATGAGATAATATTCTCTGTGTGGCAGGGCTGTAGAAATAAAAGTTTAGAAAATCTACACAAGAATGCTTCGTAAAACTAAAGCACTGTGACATTAACACAAGTTTTCACATTTCCTGCAGGAAACTGTCGTTTCCTGCAGGAAACTGTCATTTGACACATATAATTAAATGTGTCAAATTTAATAGAAAAATATATTCTGAAGATAAGTGATTAAGAAAAATTAGGGCATAATTGAAAAATAGGGTCTCTGGAAATAAAATTTTTAATTCATCTTTACATAAAAGTCAAATGCTTATATCCAAAATATTTCACTAGAGACTTCTGCTGAATTTTAGGTAGACTTATATTTGCAGTCTTGAATCTTTCTAATGTTTTTTGTATGCAAACCAGAGAAATGTGTTACTTATAAAAGTTCAATCAGAGGGCCTTACTTGCTCTAGTATGTTTTAGTAAAGACATTTTTTAGTTTGGGTAATTGGCATGGTTATCCCATTCCTCACTACAAACCTGTGCTTCCTTTCTTAGAAATATGAGTACCCATCTCCCTATCATCTCGGTACAAAACCTCCTCCCTCCTTACATCTTATACGTATTCTGTCAAGACCCAGCAGTCTTCCTTCTCAGTGTCCTTCTCCCCACACACATCCCTAACTGCCATTACCTGTTGTTACCTTCTGCTTGAAGTAATGGAATCACCTCCCAACTAATTTCCTTGCCTCCAATCTCCCCACTCTGACAATCCATCCTATTCCTCATTGCTAAATTAAATATTCTAAAATCCGGCCTTTGCTGTTCCCCTCAAAGACTTTCCCAAAAGCAGAAATTCCTCAGCCTGGATTATAAGCAGAGTCTGGATGCTGAATGAGCAATCAGGCATCATCAAATTTAGAAGTAATCTTTACGTCCATGGACAAATGGCAGGGACCACTGAAGCCCAGCACAGGACAGGGTTAACATTAAGTTCACTGGGATCTATGCCCACTCAAAATGGAGAGGTAGGACACAAAGCTAACAGAGGTTCAAATTAAAAGGAAGCAAAAAAACTTAGACATTATTTTTATTTATTTAAAGTACACAAGCAATTATTAGAATTGATACCGGAAACAAACAATGATGGGGATGTTTCTTAAAAGTAGGAGAGAACTTACCTGGTAAAGGCAGGCTGCTGTTCCAAGGAAAAATGCAATGATGTAATTAAAATCCTCACCGTCACTCTGCAAAACAAAATAAAAAATTACTTTTCTTCTGGTGGAAGCCTATTTTCAAAAACAATCCAGTGGATAGGCTATGAGGACATTTATGCACAAATGGTCAAAATTTTCACAGAATGGTATATAAAAAATCTCAAGAATCCTAAAAGGGAAACATAAAATATCACAAGATCCAAGGAGTGTGAGGTAGAGGAAAACCACCAGTGTTTTTCCATGTTTTGGCCTGCCGGTCAATTTCATTTTACCTGAGAGAAGATGAAAATCAATAGGAAAAAGTTTCCATATAAAAGGCTCTCCTCTCTACTGAAGAAACCATGTAAAAGTGCACAACACCTACGGCCTACGAAGTTTAGTCTTGCTCACTAGGGTCATGACTTAATTCACATAAATACTGACATATTTTACTATTTAGTAAGCACATCACTGAATTGTCCAATATAGTAATTTGACAAGATTTTAAAAAATCATGAAAAGCTACTGCCCACTAGAGTGTGCTAAATCCCAATGAGAAAAATCAGTCACACTTGCTGTGCTGGAAAAACAGCCACCCAGAGGAAAAACAGAGATATATCACGCACAGAATATTCCTTCTAAAAGAAAACTAACAGAAACATGTAACAGCCCATGTTTTTCTATTCCTATTTGATTCCTCTTAAATATCTACAATTATTACTTCTTTCAATGTTTTCATGAACTAGAATGCAAAACCTAGGCAGGAAAATAAGTTTGTCCCTTATTTCAGAAAAAAATATCTTTAATACGATGAACATTTCCACAAGACATGAGAGTGTCCCTCATGACCACGTCTTCAGGAAATCAGAGAAAATTCCTTTTCCACTTGCTGTTGGGCACCTGAACTGACTGTGAGGCAGAGGGAGAGAGGTTTATCTTAGTGATGAGATCTTAAACGAGGAACCATTATCTGTCTGGGATGCTTAGGGACTGTTCTACCCCCGAGGCAGGGAAGGTCAACGTGAACCCTCCACTTTAATAATTCTAAGACTTTAAATACAGGATGGAGCAAAAGTAGGTTCATAGAATTATGTAAAAATTTATTATTTTTTTTTGTAGATTTTATTTATTTATTTTTAGAGAGGGGAAGATAGGGAGAAAGAGAGGGAGAGAAACATCCATGTTTGGTTGCATTTTGCACGCCCCCTGCTGGGGACCTGGCTTGCAGCTCAAGCATGTGCCCTATACTGGGAATCGAACTGGCGACCCTTTGGTTCTCAGGCAGGCGCTCAAACCACTGAGCCAGACCAGCTGGGGCTGAAGGTTTATTCTTATGTTATTTATTAATTATTGTATTATTTTCCATGTGAGCAACCGTACCCCTACTTTTGCCCCACCCTATAAATTCTGCTTATTTTTCTTAATCCTTTACTTTTTAAATGATTTTTTTTTCTGATCATAAAAATTTATGTTCATTGTAGAGAATTTGGAAAACCGATTGTTACAAAGAAGAAATTCACATAGTCCATAATACTTCAACTCTGGGAGAATTACTGCTAACCATTTTATGTATTTCCTTCTGATATTTTCTATAAAAAATATATGCACATTTAAAAAATAGAATCATATTTTTATATACTGCTTTTTAGTACTTCACATTATATCATAAACATATAAACACTCTCAAGATATTCCTCAACCACACGATTTGTAATGTTTATATAACTTTTCATTATGGGAATACACCATAATTTAATTATTGTCCTACAGTTGGTTATTATTTCCCCCCAAAATTGACAATATTACTTTATAACTCTCTTAATTGCCTTTGGAATACTTAAGGGCATGTTTCTGGAGTCAGCCAGATCTGGATTCAAATCTTTACTTAGTAGTTGTATGATCTTAGACTATTTAACTTTAATTTCCTTTTTGAAAAATAAAAGTTGTAGAGATTAAATGAAGTAACATTTGAAAACACACAGAACAGTAATTGGCACACAGAAAGTACTCAAAAAACATTCACTACCCTGGTTGGTGTGGCTCAGTGGATTGACTGAGCGCTGGCCTGCAAACCAAAATGTCACTGGTTTGATTCCCAGTCAGACAATATGCCTGGGTTGCTGGCCAGGTCTCCAGCTGGGGCTGTGGGAGAGGCAATGAATCAATGTATCTCTTGCCTGTCAGTGTTTCTCTCCCTCTTTCTCCTTTCCTTCCCACTCTCTAAAAAATAAATAAAATCTTTAAAAAAATTTACTAACTTCATTTGTCCCTGAGGTTATTGTCTACATCATTCATTGGATAATTAGATTACCTTTCTTCATTGTTTAAGCCTCTAGTGTACTAGCTTTATCTTCTCAATTAGACCTTAACCATTCTTCAAGATAGAAAATAAATGTTTACTACTTGCATGAAACTGTGCAGATAGTAGGAATTCAACAAGTGCATGCTAGATTGAGTTGAGCTTTGAAAAATCTTTATTTCTACTTGGTAAAGAGAGTATTATCTATAAACATATTCTTTCATTCAATAAATATTCATTAAACTCTAATGAGCCAGTACTGTGCTACTAGACCTAGGATAGAAAAAAAGTCCCTACCAACTCAAGAAATTCACTCTCTTATCAAGAAGGTAGATACATAAACCAACAATTCCCACCCAAAGTGATAACCAATGATAGAGATATGTGTACAGGATACTAAGGGATAGGACAGAGTAGACCCATCTAATTCTGTCTGGAGAAAAAGGGGGTCAGGGAAGGTTTGGCAGAGGAAGTAAATCTTAACGTAGGTCCTGAAGGGCAAACTGGTGGACAATGTAGACAACATAGGAAGAGAAATCCAGGCAAAAGGAGTAGCACGTGCAGCTTCAAAGAGGGAAGAGTCTAAGATGACTCCAAGATTTCTTGTTTAGGCAACATTTGAATGATACCATTCACAAAGCTGGGAACATAGGAAGAAAAGTATTAGACTTGAGTGCAGGAAAATCTTGGTTCACCATTTTGGATGTGTTATTTTGGAGTTGTTAGTGGAACATCCAAATAATTATATTTAGAAAATATTTAAATCTGCTTCAGGAAAGAATCTGACCTACAGATCTAACTTAGTAATCATCTAATTAAATAGTAATAAGTTAAAGAATAACCTATTGTAACCAAGTGCAAGTCTTAACTCTTGACCGGCTTCTAGACTGGGGAGAGAAAACACTAAAAAGGATATTTGGGGTCAATGTGGAAATTTGAACAGAGATTTTATATTAGATAATGCCTACTGCATTGATCTTAAATTTCCTGGATATAACAAAGGTATTGTGATTACGTAGAGAATGTCCTATACCTTAAAACTGACATACCTTTGGAATAAACTGTCATAGTATCTGTAATTTTACTTTCAAATAATTCTCCAGAAAAAAAAGAGAGAGAAAATGGAAGAAAGGTAGGTTGGTATTCAGGTGTATGGTAATTGTGTTGTTTTTTTAAATGTCCGGTAAGTTTGAATTTTTCCAAATAAAATGTGTGGTGGGGGAAAAGGGACTACAAATGAAAAAATGCTATGCAGCCATTAAAAAAAAGTCATAGATCTCTACATACTGATATGAAATGATCTCCCACATATTGTTAGGTGGAAAAAGATGCAAATTAATATGAAGAGTATAGTACCACTTATAGAAAAATAATTTTAAATAAATAATTATGTAAATAAATATATAAATACAAATATACTGGCATATGAACATAATCTCTCTAGGTAAATCATTCATTGACTCTAAGGAGGAGAAGTGGGAAGAGAATTACTTATTCTAAAAATCACAGGCCTTCCTCAGTTCCGGTGAAGATGGCAGCGTAGGCAGACATGGCTTGCCCCATTGTACAACCACGTCAAAATTAAAACTAAAATACAGATCAACCTTCACTCAGAACCATCAGAAATCAAGTTGAATGGAAGTCTGACAACTACGGAATTAAAGAAATCACATCTATCCAGACTGGTAGGAGGGGTGGAACAGGCAGTTCCCATATCCATGAATGATGGATAAAAATTCGGGAGGGCTATCTCAGAAGCAAGGAGTCCCAGCCCCAAGCCAAGCCCCCCAGCCCAGGGTTCCAGTGCCAGGAAGATAAGTTCCCACAACTCCTGCCTGCAGAAACCAGCAGCGATTGAGTCAGTGGAAGAACTCAGACTCACTCCCTCTGAGCTCCAGCACTGGGGTGGCAGCTTGAAAGGCATCAGGGGCATACTGGGAGGAACTGAAGAGTCTGGCATCAAGGCAATCAGAGGCCATTGTCCCTTTTCTAAATCTTCCCCATACAGAGCCGGCAAACTGGTGTCATATCTGAGACTCCATCAACCTGGCTAACAGTGTTAAACCCACTTTGGAGGTGCTCCGAGACTCCGCCCCACCTAATTTATAGGCCCACCAAAGATGCTTTTCCATATGAATGGCTGGTCTTGGCTCATGCTGCACAACTTCCTAAATCCTCTCAAACAAGCAACAGCTGGCCTCAGTGAGCCCCAAGTATGGCAATAACAGCAGCCAGCCTAGATTCACAACTTGGCTCTACCTGGGAATCTCCAAGCCCAGTACAAGTAGCAGCCATCTCAGATTGCTTTATAGACCAGGCAGGGTGGCCCTGGGCAGCTCACAGGAGGGGGCTGACCTTGGCCTGCACTACCCAGGAAACCCCAGGCCAGCACACCTAGAGGACAGCTACAGACCACATCAGAACACCGCCATGCTGCGCCTGCACAGCTGATCCTCCATGGAGAGCGGAGGTTGGTGGTCAGTGGTCACAGCCAGTCTTTGCAGCTGACTGGTGTTGGGAACTGTCCCACCTAGTTTCAGGAACTGTAGCTTCGCCGACAGGCGAGAGTGTCTCAAGGCTGGAGCTAAGCGAGGGGGCCTTGGGAAAATAGGCCACTGAGGACAACACTTGTCCCCCTGGCAGGGGCACCGCACCTATCTCCCTCACATCACCCTGCTTGGCCCCGGAGAATGGATGGTTAGTCAATGATGAGTAAGACCCCTCAATGGCAGGGGCAACCTAAAACAGGCAC